TCTAGTTTTGTACTATTCAGTTGTTAGTTTGTATTTCTCTGCATAACTCCAACATTGCACAAATGCTTTGTGATCTGCTAGTCATGCTGGTGTGACTGCTATTACAAATATTCTAACTTAATCATTAGTAACAGTTGTTATAATATAAATATTATATAGATAATTATTCAAATTTTCATTATTGATAAAATTTGAATATCCAGTCTACTACTTGAAGGTTGATAATCTGATCATTTTACTAGGTCACCACAACCCTAAAAACTATACTTTTTTCTCTATATATTTTTAAAATATTTATAAAAATAAAATAATAATTATAAAAATTAGTTATAAAATATTTTTTTAAATTTAATTGTTATTTATACTATATATATAAGAATCTTTAAAACAAAAGAAATAATTTTTTTAATTAAATTTTTAATAAGCAAGTTTGTTCTCAAAATTGATAAAGTGTTTAAATTATATTTGTTAAACAAAGCTTATAGATTTAATATTAATAAAGTTAAAACTATGTTTAGTTTTGTAATTTTAAATCTAATAAGCAATTGTTTATTATTTCTTCTAATTAAGTTACAATATATTAATTTTATTATTTTTTGTTATTTATTATTAGTAATTTAGTTTTGATATAAGCTCTTTATAAATATATTCAATAGTATATTAAATTTTAAATTTAAACCAATTAAATTATATATATAAGATTAAGTTAATAAAAATCAACCAAATTTTTTTTAAAAATTTTAATAATAATAATTTAATAAAAATTTAATTAAATTTAATAAAAAATTTTTAACCTAATTTTATAAATCTATAAAATTTATTTAAAAAATTTTTTATTAAATTTAATTAAATTTTTATTAAGTTATTAGTATTTAAAGTTTTTTAAAAAAATTAATAAAAATAATTTATTTAATTTTTTTTATTTAAAGCCAATATTATTAGTAACTATTATCTTTATTTTGTGTTTTTGGTTAATGCATTACATGTGACTTGTACAAAGTAAGTGTATAACTAGCCACATGTGTAACTTTTAGTTACTTATTTAAGTAGTCTGCTCTAGGATTCAACACTAGCAGCCATGCTTGTAACCTACTAGAAGGGTATCTATTTAAACACTCTAATCCTTATACTACACTTAGATAAGTAACATCTGATTCATATATAACTAAGTACTGTTTAACCCAACATTTAGCTATTCTTTTTTGTATATCTGTCAAGTTATTATACCTTTTAGAGTATGTTACCTGACTGTAAGATTCTAGAATACCTTCTTGTTAACTACCTACTTACTCTACAAAATATTAACAAAGCTAGCTCTTGTAGAGTTTACCCAAACCCTTATACCTACTTCACAGCATATTCCTAGTACTTATAGTATGCCTCTGCTTTGACACCAGACTCTTAATCCAGATAGCTTAGTAAAACTGTAAGCTGTTCTTAGTATATCAAGTCAGTCTGATATCTTTTTTTTTAGTTTGGTTCTAGCAGCCTGGTTAGTAGTATCTCTTATCTGAAGTTTTTGCCCATCTGGCTTCTCTACATTGGTATTCATTTTCTAGGTCTAGCCTTTATAGTAGTACTGTCAAAGATCTGTGTTATCTCTCTATTTAGGTCTTTTTAAGTAAGCTTCAGTTTTTCAGTTCTACAGATTTATATAGCTACAAGAACTTATCTTAGGTTTGCACTACCTGGTACCAGTTTGCATTCCTTTGTATAACCAATGTTACACAAATTCATGTGACCTGCCAGTCATGCTGGTGCAACCATAATTACAGATATTCTATCTTAACTGATCAACAGAATGCTATTACTATAATACTATTTATGTATTACATAGATAATTATTTAAATTTTTTGCTATCAGTAGGTTTTGAACTTACAACCTACTACTTGAAGGTTGACAACTTATCCACTTCACTAAGTTACTACACCCTATTTAATTTTTATTAGTTATATTTATATAATAATAACTTTTAGATTATATTTTTTTTTGATATTAAGATAAAGCCTTATGTCTTTTTTTATTTTATTTTTAATATTGATTTTTTGTTATTTTTGCACTTTTTCATATTAAACTTTTTATATTTAATTATAAAATGTGTTATATACTGTTCTTGTTACTATGTTTATACACTTTTGTGTTGCTTATTTGTTTAGAAGTCATTTGAGTTTTTTTTTTATTTTTAGTATAGTAAGTTTTTTTATTAATATTTTTCTGTTTATAATTTTTTTTGCTTCTGTTTTTTTTTTTTTTAAAAAAAATAACTTCTTTGGTCTTTTGACTTTTATTAACAACTTATTGCTCATATTTTTATTAATAATTTTAACTATATATTTTAGTACCAAAATACTAAAATAAACTAAGGTAATTTGTAACAAAATAAAAATTATATGCAAAAATAAGAGCTTAGACTAGTTTATTTGTGATTTAAACTACTTTTAGATCAAAATTATAAATTATTGTAATTATTAAAAAGCAATTTCTATTTAGACATTAGTGTAAAAAATCCAGATTAGCAAAATATATATATATATAATAAATAAATATAATACTAAAATATATAATATCAATATATATTTTTTTATATTATGTTATATGATAATTTATTAACAATATATAGTTGCATCTAATAAAACACTAAATTGTTACCTATATAATGTTAGTAAGTAGTTATAAAAAAAATATAAGATCTGTATATATAACTAAATTTAAGACTGTATTTTATCATAATTGCATCTAATTTTTTAAGCAATTATTTATCTGAAATTATATAAAGCAATAATTTACTAATAATATATAAGTATTTATAACTAAACTAATAATAAATAAATAGTTTATTGAAAAAATAACTATTGTAAAAATAAGTACTAATGCTTTACTGCTACTATTATTATTTTAAAAAAAAAACTTTTCTATTATTCTTTGCTTCAAAAAAGAATAATTAATGCTTTTGCTATAACTGTTGCCTTCACTTTAGCATTTTTTTTACTAAAGCTAAAAATAAAAAGACTTATAAGTTGCTTATGCTAATCCTAATCTTAGATAAAGCTTCAATTAAATTTAACTTTAAACAGACAATGTAAATATTGAATGATTTTTGTACAACTTATTAGTTATCTTTATAAATACAATATGCATAAATATTAGATAACAAATAAGTTATAATTAATACTTATAATAATAATTATTGATTTTTTACAATGTTTGTAACTTTCAAATAAATATATTAATAAAATATAAATATATGCAGATGCTTTAAACTATTTATTATAATATTTATATATCTATTAACCTATTCTGCATTTAAGCTGTACAAGTCTTAGTATGATGCTCTACTTATTTACATTTATTGCATCTTTTATTTTTAGAATTTTTTGCTATATTTATATTATTTATATTAAGTTTTGTACTATTTTTTAATAACAATTTTTTTCTATATAATACTTTTTTAATATTAGATTTAAGTTTTTTAAAAAAATGTCCCTTATATTTCTTAATATTAGAATTGGTAATACTTGCATTTTTAATATTATTTTTCATACTTGACTTTGAGTTTCATATAAAAACTTCTTAAGAATATCTCCTAAATTACTGTATTAATTTGCAGTAATAGCAAGATTAATTGCTTTTTTTGACAGTTTAAATAATTTAGTATAAATTACTTTGTTTGGCTTTGATACCAAATTAGAATTGTCTGTATTAGAGTGAATTAAAAAAAGATAATTAAATGTTAAATCTGAACTAACTTTAGCTTCTTGCATTTTAAATTCTTGTTGAGCAAATATTAAAATAAGAATTGATAGTGCTTAATTAATAAGATCATTTATCATAATATAGAATTTAAATACTATCAATTTAAGATTAGAGCTATATGAAACATTGTTACTAAAGAATATATATACTAACTTGAAAAAAATGATAACAAATTAATCTCTTGTTAACTTAAAGAATACAAGTACATAAATAAGTACTATCTTTTAGTATTATTATTGTCACGATCAAAAAAAGGATCGTCGATATTTCATTTAAATTAGATCGCATAAGCAAATATTAATATACAGTAATTATTAGATATAGCACATATATAGAGCGTAATTAGCAGATGCAGCGTAATTAGCGTAATTAGTAGATTTAGTGCAATTAGTGTAATCAATAGATATAGCGAATATAGCGTATTTAGTGTAATTAGTGTAATTAGCATAAATAGCGTAATTAGTGTAATTAGCATAGATAGCATAATTAGTGTAATTAGCGTATAGAGAAAAGTATATAAGTAATGTGTTAGTAATGTAAGAAGAAAAGGTCTTGGAAGTCTCGCAAGTCTCGGAGGTCTCACAGTATAGTCAATAAAGAGATACTTACTCTTAGTACTCGCCCAAATCCTACGCCTCTTTTGAGTATTAATTCATCCGACGTTACGCGGGAGACTCTCGTTTACCCTATGAATAGGGAATTTTAGAGTCTACAATTTCCGTAGTATGACATTATATAGTGTCTAGATCTAGTTATTTCTGTAATATGTATATATTACATCTGATCAATTATTTAGAATAATATATTTTGTATTAAAAATGTAAACAAAATTTGTTTTGTATTATAGTCTTGTTCTTTAATATATTATTTAATTTCTTTATTATCTGTATCTGCTTTAATTTTTTTATCTTATTATTAAATATTTATAATGTTATAATATAAACTTTTATTTATTTAATTCATTTGTTTACTAAGCATAACTAGTATAAGAAATTGGTTTAGAACTTTATAAACTTAATTAAAAAATAACTATTTAGTATTAGTAATTCAATAAACAGAAGTGCATTACATTAAATTTCAAAATTCATTAGATGCTCTTTTTGACTAATATAATATTTAGACTAATCACTAAATCATATAATAATGATGAATAATTGACTTTTTGATAAACATATTTATTAATAAATTTTATCTTTTGTATACTTTATATGCCTTCTGTAAATTGATTGCATATTCAGGAAACAGTTCATAATTCTTTATTATCATATAAAGTTTTAGTTAAATAATTTGTTGCTATAGAATAATTAGTTACCAATTTTGACCAATATACAGTATTTTAAAAAGTTCTTTATATAAACTATTTTAACATACATTAAAGTTAAAACAAAATAGTTCAAATTAAGAGCCTAATTTGCTCTTTAGATTTTTTCAAATATTCATATTAATATAAAATATACAAAGCATATGCTTAGCTGTAAGATATACTTGCTTAATTGCACTTGCTATTGCAGAGTTACTATCTGTGAATATTATTAAGAGTGTAATATCTATTTCTTCCAATAACATTTTAAATATTCATTTAAAGATGTTTAAAGTCTTATTTTCAATAATGCAACTAGCCATGATTTTTGTTTTGTAATTATTATCAATTACAATAACAATACAAAGCATTATCTAAAAATGATTAGTATTTGTAGTTGTGTTCATTATTACAATATTATAAAACATTTCATAAAGATGTTTTTGTTCTAATGACATCTAAATTAAAGAAATCAGCTTTTTTAATACACTTTCTAACTGCAGTCTGGTAACTCATAGTGAATTTTTATCTTTTTATTTTAACAAAATTTGAATCATCAAAGAGACATCTGAGTTACCTGAATTATTTTTTGTTTAAAGTTATATATAGCATTATAAAGGTCACATTTGTTCAAAAGATGATTAGAATAGTTATATTGCAGTAATAAATATATCAATTCAGAATTCATTTTGTCTTTGATTACATATTTCTCAATGTTAAATAATGTTTTGATATAAACTTGTAAAACTGTAAACTAATTTTATCAATCATAAATGTAAGTGAATAATTATAAATATTAACAAATAAATTAATCTTTACTATTATCTTTGCTTTAGATTAGGTAACATTTAATTTTCAAAAGCATTTAGTTTGTTAAAATATAGCATTATAATATTTAGTAGAATCAGTTGTTACTTTTGAATTATTTATATTAACTTTAGTATATATATATGTTGCTCTTCTAATTATACTATTATTATTCATCTTACTAGTCTAAATTCTGTAACCAAATCTTTTTAATCTTACAAATTAATCTATTCAATTTTTAAAAAATTGTCAGATTTGGAATGAAAGATCTAGTTTTAATTCTAGCAAAACTAATTTATTATAATTTTTTTTTTTTTTTTTTTTTTTTTTTTTTTAAATGTTAAGATGAGTACATGTGATTTAGGATTTTACTGATAGTATAAGTTGGTTAGCACCTGTTCATGTACAGACACAGAGGCAATTACAGAAAGAGTGTACAACTAGCCACTCATACAACTTTAGTCATTGTCTAATTTAAGTAGTCTGCTTGAAGGTTCTATACTAGTTGCTATATCTAGAACCCATCTATAGATCCTCTATTTAAACACTCTAATCCTGCATCCACCACACTCTATCAGCGACTCTGGTAAACCAGTGAAGATATGCCATAGTCACTAAGTCATATTTAACTTTGTACTAAACCTATCAATGTGTTCTGTATCTCATACTTACAGCTCACCTAGTCATGCTTTGGTCTAAACCATTACTTGTAGTTAGGGCTAACCATTAAACCACTTTTATCTTTGTAAGATTCACCTAAAACTCTGGTACCCATCTTTTTGATATCCTCTTCATAGTTTCCTACTAACCGATACTCAGGACTGACAGAACTTTCTGAACTTCTAATCCAAATAGCCTGTTATGATATATCTTAGTATTTTTTTCTTCTGATGATTCTAGCAGCCTGGTTGGTCATATGCTTCTTTACATATCTTGCTATCCGGTTTATCTGCCTATTCCTTTGGGAGTGTTTTATGAGCTTCTATCAGTCTAACAGTACTGTTAAAAGTTTTGTGCTATCTCCTTATTCAGAATTTTTAAGTGGGTTTTCGACTTTTCGGTTCCTTTGCTTTCTGCACCCAGTGGACTTATCATGGGTTTGCACCAAAGTCTTATGCAATATTAGTTATTAATATTCCTCTATGTAGGTATAACATTACACTTAGCATAAATGCCCCAAGCTCCTATTTGAGATAGTGCAACAAAGGTTACAGATACACTAATCCAACTAATCAACAGAGACAGTTACTGTAATACAGACCTATTTTCCAAAATTCGGCATTCATGGGATTTGAACTCTAGACCTGCCACTTGGGGGTTGACAACCTGACCACTTCACTAAGTCACCACACCTTATTATAATTTTCTTGTTCATGTTTATTATTAATATTTTTTTATATATTTAAGGCCAAATACTTATTATTGAAATAAATATTATTAATAATATTATTAGAAGATCCAATTTCAAATTATTAAGAGAACCATTAATATTATAATTATTACTAAAAAAAATATTATCATTAAAACCAGAATAATGACCACTAACATTATTAACTAAAGCAGTACTACAACTGTTATTAGTATAAGTACTACTATTTACTTTATATTCAACTAAAGATATATCATAACTATTGTTAGAATAAATATTACTACTTACTTCATATTCAACTAAAGAAGTATCACAATCATTATCAGAGTAAGTACTACTATCTACTTTATATAATTGTTAATTTAATAAAACATTATTATTGAAACTACTAATAAATTTCTAAAATTTATTTTAAAAAAAAAACTAATTGCTATACATTAAAGAATATAAAGTATTAGAAATAAGTTGAGCATTAGTTTTATAATTAGAATTCAATTTATTAAGCATATTAGACTTTATAAAATAGCATGTAGGATTCTAAAATTACAATAACAATATAGTATAAGTATTGACTTTGTATGTGTAATAAAAACAATAAATTAAAAACTCTTTCTGTAAATCATTTTTATACAAAAATAACTAAAAATTTATTAGTACTAAAATTGTTAATATCTGGTTATTTTATTAAGATAACTAACTTTGGAGTCTTAAGTAAACTTGTTTAGCCACTAATTTTACATATATTTTAAAAGTTTTAAAATGATAACTCTCAAACTCACAATTTAATATTACAATAATAGTCTTTAGAGTTCTAAACACTTTTTTAAATTATTTCTCGACAACTAACTTTCAACCTACTCTATAGTTCTAAGAAAGATTGTAGAGCTCATTTCTCTGATCAAAACAAGGTCTAAACAAACTCAATAGGCCTAATATTATTAGAGACATTTTAAAAAATAGTTTTAACTCTCTTGCAAACTTCTTAAAAAATTCTTTTTTATTTACTCCCAACTTTTTTTCTTTTACATGATTTTTGTGTAACATTAAATCATTACTACAATTGTTTTCATAGTAAACCAATTAATATTACTTAAAATAGCACATAATTTTTTATTTGGTTTTTTTTCTTTTACTAATTTGACTTTGTATACTAGTACAAGGCTTTTTTGAAATATGTAACTAAATTGTTACATTAAGCCACACTTGCCACACCAGTCACATCTTGTACTACATAGGTTATACAAAATTGTTCTCAAGGTTACATAAAGCCACAGCAACTGCAACAGCTGCAATATTACATTATACCCCTGTCAAGCCAACCCTTGCTGTTATAAATCTTATATATTAAAAACTTCAATAACTAATAACAAAAAATTCTACTAAGTAATATTAACTTTTATCCTTAAGTATACCTGTAGTATTTTTCTTTCTCTATTCAATAAAATGCTTACTTTAACTTCCCAAGAGCCAGATCATTTTGATCTTGACTATTTCTATAACAAGTATAATGATCGTTATAGTAGAATGATTAGAGAAATGCAATCTACACAACTTAAAGTGATGCCATTTGCATTTAATCCATCTGAATGCAATACTGCTAAATTTCTTTACTATTTTAAAACTCCTACTCAACCTACCATTGTCTGCTGTTATTGTCAAAAATTTCATATTCTCTTTATTTCCAGCAATCTTAATATTCCATTCAGACAAGCAACTCCTCTTCCTTCTTCTCAAAAATCCACATATATGAATATTGATATTACACCTAAACAAGTCAAATAACTTAAAGAAATTATTTCTCAATCACCAATTGCAAAAACAATTACTATTCCTCTATTACCATTCCCTTTAAACTATTCTACAACTTAACAAGAAACTTCATCTAGTTCAAAACAAACTCCTCAAATTCAAGCACATTCTCATCATGCATATACTTATATTATTTATTAAAATAAAAACATCTTATGTGCTTTTTTAGAAAATAATATACATTCACTTCTTGACAAATCTATTCTTATTATCAAAGGATTTCTAGCACATCCTAAATATATTTATAAACTTAAACTCAAACCTATTATTCAAACCAAAGCACTTACTCTTACACAAATCCAAATTGCTCTTATAATTAAATTTATTATATTATCTAAAGAAGAGAAAATTTCAATTTTTAAAAAATTCCTAAGATTACTAAAACAAAACAAAATCACAAAATTAATAAAAAACAACAAAATCCATATTAAAAACAACCTATTACCAAAAATCTTCTTACTTCCAAGCTTATACCTCTTACTTCTACTACAGATAAATCAAATAATAATAGTCAACAACAATCCTACAGTCAAGCAACAAGACCTAAACTCAACCTATTATTTGATTGATTAGCAAACTTTCCAGTCACTGATGAAATGCAAAACTATACAAAATTAGAAACTGAGATATCATGTTAACTCTTTAACTTCCTTAAAGAACACTTATACAATTTTTATTCTGATAAAATTCTTAAAAAAGCTACAGAAACTAAATATGTACTTAAAGCTAGTTTCTATTTATTGATTAGACAAATGGCTGATATTAGACCAAAATTTCTTATTAACTTAATCCAAAAACACAACTCTGAAACAGATAAAGCTGCAACAATTCCTTTTAATATTCTAGAAGAAAGCCTTAAAAAACTTATTCATACATTTACAAAGTTTACTTTACCAAACTCAACTACCCTGAAATATTTGCCTCTTCTGCAACAATTTTACTAATTAAAACTAAGAACTGTTTACAATTTTGTCTCAATCTCATTTGCTTACATTTATATTTTTCTAATAACTATCAAGCAATAAACTATACAAAATTTGCTAAAAATATTAAACTTAGATCTAAAAGGTTTAAAATAACATCTAAGGTTACTGATTTTGACAAAAAACAACAATATCTTTTTATCAAAATAGATAATTGCTTCAACATCAAACTGAATTTTAATTTTCTGAAATCTCTTTTTCTTGACAAATATAATATACCATCACTTAAAAACTCACTTAGTCATTTTAATGAATGATTTGAAAAAGCCTTTTTATTATATAGCTGACAATTTTCTAATACAATTAACAAAACCAAAGTATCTAACTATCTTAAATATGAATTTAGACAACATTTTATCTCATATCTAAAAAACCTTTTGCCAACTAATATCAAATTCATTAAACCAACTAATCTTCAGGAATGATGTTATGAAACCTTTAGACATGTCAACTATCATGTACTTACTTGTATAGATTCTATATATCCTTACCTTGAACCAACTGATACAAAAGGAAAAACAAAAGAAGCTAATACTAATTCAAAGAAAACCTTTATATCACAACCTACATATAACTCATCTACACTTATTAAAGATATTTTTGAAACATCTTACAAAACCTATCTCAAAAAAGATACTGAAACATGGAATAAATCTTTCCTTGATACATCTATATTCTATATTAAAGGCAAACATGAAGCTACATTTACAAAACCAATCTCTACTTTAACTCTTGATGAACTAGCAACAAAGGCAGAAGACTAATTCTAAATGACAAGGCTTTTATTTTTATTAATATTTATCTATATATCATAATACTGCTGCTCAAAATCACAATATTATCAAAATGGATAAACAACAAGCCATCAAATTCCTCACAGCAAAACTAATTAATACTGACTTTCTAGCTTGAGTCATTACATACTTTGATTGCACATGAGGCAATTCTCCAAATTATTCTAAAATAACCAAATTCTATAAAGAGAAAGCCTTACCAGAGGCAGAAACAATTCTTCACAACAAATTCAATATCAAATTTGAAATACCTATTTCAATTGAGAAGTCACTCTTCTTAAAAAATGAAGAAGAGGTTTCTTTTCAATAAATTCTTCTGTAGTACTCATAAAAGCAGCCATTACTTCTGGAATCATGATGTCCTTCATTAATAATGGGCTATTTTCAGAAAAGAATGATGTAAGTAGACAGATGGTTAAGTCCATTTATATGAAGAACCAAGTTAATGACAGCCAGACTCAATATACAGAGCAGGCTATGGTACTCTTTACAGCTGTGCAAGCCAAGCATATGGTGAGCGAAACAACAAAAGAATTTTCTACTTACTTAAATCCTATCTCATCATCTTACATCAAGGAAGCTCTGCAAGAACTAATCCACAATACATTATATGATCCAAACTCTTGTTATAACCAATAGTTAACACATCTAAAGCTACCCTTATTTTCATATCCATAAACACTTAACTCATTTCTAAAACACATCTATCAATACAACTTTACACAATACAATAACTTTAACTATGCACTAAGATTAGCAATCAAACTGAACTATAGTGAATGCTATATACATTTACCATATGTGTCTCAACCTTTACCTAATTATTTCTTCTTACAATTATCAGGTTATACCTACTATTTATCTATACCTATCTTCTCCAAATTCTCTTTAATTAACAATAATATATTAGATACTAACCTAATCATAAAAGATGATAAATTAGACAACAATTACTCCCAAATAGTAGGAGCTATTTTAGAAGGCTATGATGAAACCACTATAGCTAACCGATACTATAACAATATCCAATTTAATACTTGCTACAACAAATTTCTATTTTACAACTATATATCACTACTTCCTCATCCTCAAACTATTATTACTTTCTTATGTCACATCCACAGCTTCAGCTATTCATCTGATAACCTATATGACTATACATTAACCATTTCTATTAAAAATAACCATAGTAAAGTTTATGTCTATCTTTCATTTAAACCCAAACCTTTACCTAATCACTTTATTTTACCAGTTCAAGCTATCTGGCATTACCTAAACATACAACTAAAATCCAAAACATCAGTATTAGTCTTTACTATACCAGCATCTCTAGATAACCCAACACTCTTTTCTTTACTCTATATACCTAACCTTAATGTTATATCTGACTTAAACTCTCCCTCCAACAATAACTTACTTCAACTTAACATCTCAATACATAATGTGTAGGGATATAATATACAACAAAATAACTATTATAGGAAAATTACTGTCTAACTCATAATTTATATATAATTAGTCTTACTAAAACCAAAATTGCTAAAAACATAAAAACCAAATTCTGGAACACACCTCAATACTCATATTTTTGGTTTAACTCTATAGAATCCAAAAAAGGAATATGTATAATGATTAAAAATAATATCAAACCTCATATATATAACATACTTACCCAACCTGATAATGTTATTGCTATAGATTTTTCTTTAAAAATAACTACAAATTTAGAATTATTTCAGTATATCTCTCATCAACCAATACTAGCAAGCGCAGACTTATACAAAATACAATTACCATATAGACACAACAAGCAATATCATCAAATTTATATCCTATTATACTTGGAGACTTTAATATAGACCACAATACCACTACAACATCAACAACTAAATTTCAATTACTTAATTATCTACATAGTACC